TTTTTCAGGTGTTTCCTTCCATACTGACCTGTTATAATGAATTGAGGGTACAGCTTAGTGTGGTAAAAGTCATATACACACAAACCTGTTTTACTCTGTTATCATTTCCGTCTCAAGCTTTAACACACATTAATAAGAATCAATATTCTAACCAAACAAGTCTGTGCAGACACCAGATTCTCCCATCTCTGAAACGATGTATGTGGCGACCATGAAGCTGTGAGCAACTTCTAAATTCCTACTATTTTGTTTATATTACCAAAAGTATGGGAACACTTTATTGTGGGTAAAGGTAGTGGTAGACATTTTAACTATTATGAGAATAAGAATCAACAGCTAAAAGGTTATATTCTTCAACTTGAATAAAAAAATAACTTTTAAATAAAATACTGGCTACTTAAAATATTTATAGAGGATAAATAAAAAAATGAGTAATTATTTCATGCGTTTTATTGTAACTGAAATGCTAATCCATTTACCTCGATCTCTATTGTAAAGTTACGACTTTATCTTAGAAAATCATTAGCATAAGATGATGCTCTCACATGGTCCAATGCATATTTTCATTTTATTTCAAACACTGCATCTGAAAGTATAGCCTGCATTTCTTCTACTTACTATTTTACAACTTTGTAACCCTCGTGGCTTTCACAAAAACTATATAGATCTGGCTCATTCTTAACAATTCCCTACTTTGCACTAGAAAATGATGTTCCCTATTCAAACAGAAAAAAATACATTCTTACAAGTCATTTTACTTTTTCAAAATATGTTTACTATTTATCTAAAAACCCATTAAAAGTATATCTATGCTGGGCCCTCCCTGGTGGCACAGAGGGTTAAAGCACAGCACAAAAAAGCTTAAGCCACTTCCGCATGAGTTCGATCCCGGCCTGCCCTGGAGGAGATCCACAGGGCCAGGCAGACCTTTCCTGGCCCGCCCACTGCTCCCCTCAGCAGTGTACTTCATTGATCTGTCTGTTCTGCACCCCACTCTGTCTCTGGTGAATCCTCTCACCCTCCACATCTCTGGCCTGTACCCCAGTTCTGTATGAATAAATAAATCTTAAAAAAAAAGTATATCTATGCTATAACCATATGAGCATACTTCTAAAAGAAACTAATTTAATAGTTACGTACACAATTATCCAACTTTACGTTGAACTAGAAGAAAGAAAGAATGCTAACCTTCAAACAACTAGCAAATAGAACACTTGCTTTGTAAAAGACAGAACTATTTAAAGCATGTAAATGTAAATATAAACAACCAAGAGAGATTCTTCCTCTAATATGCAAATCCTGTGAGGAAGTAAACATGAACATATGGAAGATGTAGTTTGACTCCACTCATCACCAAAAACCACCCCCAAAGTTAGTCACTGGGAGCTCTTTAAATGAGAGCTGTTGAATCCCTGCCCAAGTGCAGCACAATAAGGGATTTTTGTGAGTGCAGTATTATGAAATACGGTAGCCACTGCTGTTAAGTTTTATGTCACCTTGCTAAGGAATCAACACCATCTACAGAAATGCCTTAAATAAGCTCATTTATAAAATATGACTTCCAATTTCTAACAACTTTTATGTATCTAAAAAAGCACAAACATTACTGAACACATGATGCAGTAGAGTCAGATACCTGAGTTCAGTGGCTGGCTGAACCCCTCACTGCTGAATATTTTTCTGCAAGCTGACTTGGATTTGTTATAGGGGTCAGGCCACCAGGGCCTCCATTTTGTAGGTCCCAATAAATTAATTCACTTTATCATCTATAAATGGAAGAGGTCAAGGCTTACAACGAATGGCTAAATATCAATCAGTGATACAAACATTAGGTAAGGGTAAATCTCCAGGGCCTACACTGGAAGACCTTAAGGAGGACACAAAAACTGAACTGGTTTTGAAAGATGCTAGTATTTGGATCCATGAAAGCACATTTCAGTAGAGAACATAGCTCAGGAATGCACGCTGGCTGGAAGAAAAGGGTTTCTCTAGAACAGTGTGAGGTGAGAACTAGAAATACCAGTTAACAAAACAGTGTAGACATCCTTGAAAACCAACAACAGGCCCTTCCCCTGGAGGTAACCACATGGCGTGGCAGACCTCTCCTGACCCGCCTGCTGCTCTCCTCAGCAGTGTAGTTTATCGATCTGCCTGTTCTGCTCCCCACTCTGTCTCTGGTGAAGCCTCTCGCCACCCCTGAGCCTCTGGCCTGTACACCAGTTCTGTATGCACAAATAAATCTTTAAAAAAAAGAAAAAGAAAACCAACAACAGCACATTTTAGAGGATAATAAAGCTAACAGTATCACTTTGAAGATATGCCTAAGACTCACACCAATGAATGTATAGGATAGCTGAGAAAATAAACTGTTAGAACTTAGTCCAAGTATGAGTTAATAAAACAGAGAAGAATGAGAGACCTCAGGTTCCATAAAGTCAGACATACAAACTCAGGAAGTGATGTGATAAGGAGAAAGAGAGTCAAATTTTAATGTGGCGTCTGAGTCCAGATGGTCAAGAGAGAATAGCATCAGCATAATTAACAGGAGTCAGGGAGGCAGCAGGAGGAAGTCTTTTTAAGTAAGGTGACCACCTTGGCTTTTGGACAGAGTAAATTTAAGCTGAGAATATTTACACCTACCTCTAGACCTGCACTCCTTTGCATAACAGGAATGAAATATGTATTGAGAAAAATACTCTTAAGTAGCATTGCCCACATACATGTAATAGAGAAACCCTTCCAGACCATGCAATCTCTCTGTAGTTACAAAAGTTAATTAAAATGGATAAAATCATCGACACAAAAATAAAAGAAGTGCCAAAAATTGTCTGCAAAGCACTGTGACTGCACTTTGGGATGTTTATAAAACATTATTATATAAAAGTATGTCTAACACCATTTATTCCTAAGAGAACTGCTAATCAAAACCACAATGAGATACCACTACATAACTACTAGAATTATTAGATCACAAATTATTAAAAAAAAAAAAAAACTAACAAAAAAACCCATGTCTAGTAAAGACATGGATGCAGGCCTCTCACTATGGCCCGAGTGCAGTATGGAAAAGCCACTATGCAAAAACATTTTGACAGTTTCTTATCAAAATATACTTTCCCTCCACAGCAGAAACCCCTTTTCTAGGTAGCTAGCCAAAAGAAACAATGTGTCCACACAAATACCTATGTGGAAGTATTATAGCAGCTATATTCATAATCTCAAAACCTGGAAGCAAGTCAAATGTAGTAAATGGATAAACAAATGGCAGAATGCCCACACAATGCAATACTTCCTGGTGACAAAAAGGAACAAACTGCTGGTAGTCTCAAAAATACTGTACTGAGTCAAAGAAGCCAGGCACAAAATGTTACATAGTATGTAATTCTATTTATGTAACATGCTGGGAAAAGGAAAACCACCTTCTATTCTATATTTTGGTTATAAAAGTTACATTTGTCAAAACTCACTGAAAATCATGCATATCAAGAATGAACTTTACTGCATGCAAATTATTCCTCAATAAATTTAACTTTAAAATAAACTGTAGCACTTTAACATTTGCTCAAAAAAACTGTTAAAGCTTAACACTTATCTATGATGACTCTGAAAAATTCTAGACATTTCATAAGTAGCTAGAATACCACAAGTGCCCTTAATACCAAAAGATATAAACCCCATGATTTTCCCCTCTTTGGGTCTCAAAACATTTCTATGCAGCAATATGGCATAAGGATGTTAGAGAGTGTGCAGGGGCCGTGTGAATGCGGGTTATTGAGACACTAATAAAGTGAGTCTTGTTTATGGACAGCTGTTGATTTCATTGTTCTTTTGTCACACACAAAAAAAGGAGAGCTCTTATGCTCATGGAATTTGACCTTCTCATTGGATAGCTGTTACATCATGCCCAGAAACACTGCCTGAATCTCACCATGTACCAGAGAAAATTGTAAAAATAAAAACAAACCAAACAATCATGAAAGACCCTCAAATTACATTAAATAAAATACATTAAAATCAGATCACTTAAGAGAAGCATTTCTCAATACTGAATATTCCAGCTTATTTTTTATAAGCGGAATGGTTTGCCTGATCTTACTATTCTTAGTATAGTAACTTCAGCAGGGT